CCCTAACCCTAACCCTAACCCTAACCCTAACCCTAACCCTAACCCTAACCCTAACCCTAACCCTAACCCTAACCCTAACCCTAACCCTAACCCTAACCCTAACCCTAACCCTAACCCTAACCCTAACCCTAACCCTAACCCTAACCCTAACCCTAACCCTAACCCTAACCCTAACCCTAATCATCTAACCTTATCATTCGTCACATAGCTGTATGGTGTCGACGCTCTCAGACCAAACTTTCACTGGGCGGTTCACCTCTCTGAGCAGATACTCGATTATGGGCCCGTGTATAACTTCTGGGCGTTCCTGTCTGAACGTCTCAATAAACTCCTCAAGAGCTCAAATGCCAATATTGGACAGGCGGCCAGGTGGAGATCTCAATGATGCGAGAGTTTGCGCGAGCGGCTCGTGTTGAATCAATGGTATGTACCCTAGTTCTTGTCACTTCCATCTGCAATCTCATGTATTGCAGGCTCGCATTGTGATACACGATAGCCCCAACAATCACGTGAAAAATGTCATGGAGCTGTTAGTCCATCAGAATGCCGAGGGCGGCACTCTACAAGACGCTCTTGTATCTGACGGTGAGCCGCATATGTGTCATGCAAAATCCATGTCTAAATCTTGTGTCAGAACTCTCAAACCGTTCGCCATGTGCAGCCTGGCCCTCTCATTGGTAATTCTACAAAGCGGATGAACAATGGGACACGGGTCTATATGCGTGACTACTACAACAATGCTGCCAGCCGTGCTGGGGCCCCCGTCACATTCCGTTTATCCTTGCAGACTAATGCTGCCACAGATGCCATCCTGTTGACTGACTACGCCTTCTTTTATCAGCATGCACTTCTCAATGGCCGACGCATCATACCCATCTCATCTAGCCGTCGTCAGACAGCAAACTCGGCAATTGTCAAGGTAATCGTAACAGAGGGAGCAGCCCCACTTTACGGTGAGGTCCTCGCCATCTTCTCACACGAGCAACAAGGAGTTCCACCCGAGTTGCATCACCGCCTCTTCGCTGAGTTTCGCTGGATGAAGGAGTCTGAGTTCTTGCCTGTCGAGGGTGATCCATGGCATCAGTTGTACGTCTCCAGGTTTCATCTTGCGTCTGCCATAACTACCTACGCGTTGAACAGCCACGAGCTTGACGTCAACTGCTTTGAGCTAAATATATATCACCCTGACACCAGCACGCTCCCTTATGTTCTTCCCTTTGACTGCATCCGCTGTCAAGTGGCACGCGGAGTCGTTGAGACAACTGACCCTCCATTGTGGATTACAACAAGTCTCGAACGGGTGAGTCAGAGATACACTGTTTTCTGTTCACATGCTGACTATACAATTACATCTGAACTTTAGCACCCGAGTCTATAGCAAGAAGACCGACTAGTACCCTCAGAAACGTAAGTCATTTTAGCCTTTTACCTATAGCAGTTCGCTGACCAAGAAATGATGCTCGTTCATGACACACCTCACTCACCTCCGTCACTGCTTAATGCCCCACCCGCTCGATGGTGCATCAACCCGACTGCCCAATTCCTCACATCCACTCCTTGGACGCTCCCACTCGGCTGCGCACCTCCTTCACTGCTCCTCTGCTGCGCACCTTCACCACCCTCATTTTGTCCAATCTGTCCACCCTCGCTGCTCTCGCTTGGCGTCGCCTCCACACTCTCGTCACCCCCGCTTGGCCCGGGCTGCCCATTTCCTCCGCTTGAAGTGGCCTGTGCTAATTCTTGCGGAGGACCCGGCGCTTTGAACGCAGGTGGGTCGCCATACCTGTACCAGTCCCCCAGCTTGTAGACCTCGTACTCAGGTTGGTTGACATTCTCTGCATGCCATTCCGCGTTGATACAACAGTCCCAGGGCGCTTCAGTTGGGATCCGAGAAGTCATGCGGTCGGTGTGGACCATGTGTGTGGTGAACTGCTTCCTCTTCTTAACGTCCAGCAGTTCCCACCGCTTGGCTCGCAGCCAAGCGAGGATTGTCTCGAGCTGTAATCAACAGTAAGTCATGTATCAATCACGTTGCTCTCTCGCTCATAAGCTCCGAGCGCCAGGGACATTTCAACACCTCGTGGAATGTTGCAGTCCCGAACGCATCCCCACGTGGATTGACTCCCTTTCCCCTCGCCATCATCACCTTCCACTCCTCCAGCGTCTCATCTGATCCCTCTTCAGGGCCCGACTCTTCATCCCACATCAAGTCAGCGATGATCATCTCGGTGGGATCATTTCCATGATGCTCCTCCTTGTACTCATCTATCACTCCGAGCAGCCGACTAGCTTTCTGTAGGCTGGTGAGTCCCTGCATTGATTCATGATATAGATGCTCACTGCTTTTCTTCGCTGGTATCGTCGTAGCTCCCTGTCGTCTCTTGCCTTGGCAGCTTCGCGTCCAGAATTGTTTTGCACCTGCCAAACTTCCTTCAAGCTTGTGAATGTCGTCTTTGACAACACGAAGAGGCTCTCTTTGTTCCATTTGACAGCTTGATTGGTCAGCTTCTCGCCAAGATTGCCAGGGGTCTATAGCGGTGAGTCAGGCATCAATGTACGAGTGGCTATATGCACTGACCTTTAACTCTGACCACACATGGTCGGTGACAGCTCGCCGCACCTTGACGTTTCGCGGGTCGTTAACCGGTTAAGCAAAAACCGGGTTCATGTACACCTCGTCTGGTGCCCTGGGATTTTTACGCTCCTCATCGGGATCAGTCGGCCACCTCTCGTCACCAAGAACCCCACATAATAGCTTAAACGCGCCATTGAGATGTTGCTATGGTACGTGTCTCTCAGTAACTCATCATCAGCTTGGTATAGACTCACAAGTAACTCATTTCGAGCAGTCCTTGTAGGTGTCTTCAACTTTTTGGCAGGCAGAGTGACATCCTCGGCGTTTGCGTCATAACAACCGGTGCGTTGCTCTTCCCCTGTCATTGTTCCTTGCAATGCAGCTCCTGACAGCCGACCTCTCTTTCTCCCGCCGCGTCCGCCTCGTCCTCCATGTCCAGTACGACTCCCGCCACGTTCGCCACATCCACCACCCTGACCCTCTTGTCCTCCCGTCGCTCTGTTTGCCTCGATATTGTCGAGTCTCTTGTCAATAGCTGTCAGCTTTTCAAGAATAACTGGTTTCGGGGATGACGACATGTGTCTACGACGATGCCGAGCTGGTGATCGAGATCGACTGCGGCTGTTGGACACGTCGCGACGCCGCCTGCGCCTAGGTGGCGATCGAGACCGGCTCTGGCTGGCAGAGCGCGAGTCATGTCGACACCGGCGTCGGCTTCGCGAGTCGATTGTTGAGGCCGCATCCCGGTTGTTAGAGCCGCTACGCTCCCTGGGCCGGCCCCGACCGCTGGAGCGTTCACTAGATATGAGGTAAGATATATGCACTATCATTCTACGGTTATTTACTCACCTAGTTTGGTTGCTACTCCGTGCATCAGGTGCTCCAATACGTCGAACATTGGACCCATGGTCAGGTGCGTGCCCATTCCCCATCGAGAGGAGCTCCGGGCTGATTTGCGGCTGCAGGGACGCGACGATCTGCATCTGCAGAGCAACCGGCATTTTGTTCCATGCCCCCTCATCAATTTCTGGCGGCCGTGTAAGTGCACTATTGGTCGGCATTGGTGGTGCAGGAGGGGGAGCAGGCCGGGGAGCAGGGACACCGTCGACAAGCCTCATGCAGCAGGGAACGACCAGGGAACAGGCAGGGGACGAGCAGGGGAGGGCAGGAAGCGGGCGGGCTACAGCTGCAGCGCGCAGGGGCGCGATCGGCGCGTCGGGCTTCGATCATAGTTTAGCTTCTGTATGTTGGCTAGCCTGAGCTAATACCATTCCATTAGTGCTTCTATCTACAGTCCGATCAGATGAGATAGCCAAAAACAGGCTACATATGGAGCTAGTAGTTATAAATATGCGTATCC